AGTACTATTGAAAAATTTGTTGAAAGAACGTGTTAAGTGCTGTTTCAGTTAATTTTGAGAAAATTTAGTATTTTTTAATATTTTTCTTATTTTTTGCGAAACAATAGTTCAGAGGCCTGTTGTGTAGATAAAGCCTTCATTTACTATAAAAACAATTTAGTGATTAATTTAGATAAAATTACACTTCAAATTTTAAGAATTTAGTGAAAGAAGCTGTTACGTTATCCATATTATTATTTTAGTGAATTCAAGAAAATTAGGTTTATAAAATATTGAAAAATTTAGTGAAAAAAGATGTTAAGTGCTGTTTTAGTTAATTGCAAAAAGATTTAATATTGTGAAACAATTCAGAGATTCAATAACGTGGCTATTACATATTATATATTTAAAAAAGATACGATAAGTAATTTACTCAAAAATCGGTGTTCAAAATTTTGGAATTTAGTGGAAGAAACTGTTAAGTCATATTTTAGTGAGTTTGAGAAAACTTCGCTTTAGAAAATATTGAAGAGTTTAGTGAAAGAATATATTAAGCGATATTTTAGTTAACAAAAGTTAGCTTTAGAAATGTATAAGAGAATTTAATGAAAGAATATATTTAGTTTTATTCGATCTTACAATTCTATTCAATCTTCAATTCAATTTTGCATCATAATTTTAAACTGTTCTTTATGAATTGTTCTTTAGGAAGATTAAAAAATAAGTTCAATTACAAGAATAAACGTTTTAAACTATTATTGAAATGCAAAAAATAGTCTTATTGTATTTTGCGCAGTTTTTTTTCCAATTAATTTTTAATTCCCCTCAAAATTTTTCAATTATTTCGTCATTGCCAAGATTATTATTTCATAATTAATTTTAAAATGTACGAGAAGTGAGCCAGATTTTATATTCAAATTTAAACTAAATATTGATAATTTAAAATCCATTTCTAAAAACTATTTGCATGAATAATTAAGAAAATGGCGGGATCATCCTGATATCACTATTTATAGTAGCTTTATTGTACATGAAGCGTTTCTCCGACTTTTTTTAATTTATTTTTTTAAGAACAAAAATTTTAATTCCAGGGTCGTATTAAAAATTTTGAAGGAAATTCAAATCATTAAAAAAGTAGCTGCAGTCATCGAATTACTAACAATATTAAATGCTAAAATAATTTAATAATCGCTTAAAAAATAATAATTAATGATATATTAATTAATATTATTAATTCGGTGATAAGCAATATTAATTATTAAACTATTTATTAAAAACTTCATTAAACAATAATAATTTGAAAAAAATATTAAATGCTACAATAATTTGCAAATACTACAATTAAATTAAAAGCTATAATTTATATAATCTAAAAAAATGTTTCAAGAAAGAAATAATTACAAACTATTTATTAAAAAATTCATTAAACAATAATAAGTACTTGAAAAAAATATTAAATGCTACAATAAGTTACAAATACTACAATTAAATTAAATGCTATAATTTATATAATTTAAAAAAATATTCCAAGAAAAAAAAACTTAAACAGATAAATTTTTTTTTAAAAAAATAAATGTTTTTAAGCTATGAACAGGAAATCGAATCCTTAAAATTAAAAAATAAGAACAGTTATATTTATATTTAGTTCATAAAACATAAAACTATTATGTATTCAGTCATTATCTTAAACGAAAATTATAAACGGAATCATATAGTATACGTCAATTTTTCTTTTTAATACAATAATTAAGTAACTTAAAAACAGTGTTAACAAAATCGTAATAGCAGATTTTAAAGCCACACATGTTGTTATGCACCTGCTCACGATCGCCGGAGACATCGGTACATCCGTTGGAAACCGAATCAAAAACTACTGTACCTCTTCTTTTACCCTCCATGACGGATGGATCGCCAGGAGCAGGCGCACTTCCTACATTCATCTACATAGCTTGGCAGTATAATCGCTTTATTGGCGAAATTATTATTCTTTTTTAGAGATGTTTCATTAAAACGATCATTTTATTTCAAACGTTTTCATTTCAAACGTTTTCATATTACGAAATGTTTCAGATATATATTTGCGGCTAACGATATATTTTAATTTTTTTTTAATTGTGAATTAAATTTTTTTTCTACTCTGAATAGAGATGGTGTGGTGCGCATGCCTGTTGCATTGAGTGGGAAAATAACGATGCGTAATTGCAGAACAAGGGCGGTTCCCAACTCTTTCACTCGTCTGCTACTAAGGAGCACAGAGCAGTACGTAAATTAAGCATAATTGAATCGACCGAGGAAGTTCAAAGGTTTTCCTTTCCATTTTTAAACTGTACGAAATTTCATCGGGTTTCAGCCAAGCGATACTTAAATTAAAACCTCGACAACAGATTTCGGTAAACACAAAATGTTTATAAACAAACTCAAGATATTGATAAAAAAAAATTCGTCTGTAATACTATTTATAAAATAGGTTAAAATATTCCTTTTTACTCATTAAGCACGGGAATTTTTTTCCCCATTTTAGGAATATACTATAGATTTCTATATTTCCTGAAGTTCAGTTACTTAAGGAAAATAACAAATATTTTTATCATAAATTAGTAGTACGTGATAATTGGTGTCTCAAATCAAAACTCTTAGATCAAATACTTCTAGTAAAATTACTTTTATAATTTCATTTTTATTTAATATTTTTTGTCAAAAATTGCCGCTGTCTTATGAGTTAAAAAGGACTTAACGTATCACTCAATTATAGATGAAAATTAATAACAAAAAAGTTTTTCAACTTATTTAAATTTATAGTTATCGTTAAATATAGAGAAACCAATAAATTATATGAAAAGTTCGATTTGAAAGAAAAAAGATGAAAAAAAAGACCATGGCATTAGAAATAAAATTATGTTAAGGGAAATCCGTAACTATGAAAAAGAAAGCGAAAATTGTCGCAAGAAAAAGAAGACAAAAAATTATAAACTTCATTAAACGAAAATTTATGTTTAAGCAAAGAAGAAGAAAATCGTTATAGAAACCTGTCGAATCAGAAATGATTAAGACATTGATGCTGAAGCTTTGAAAATATATCTAATGATACTTTCACGTCCTGTCTGTTACTAGGGCAATCAAACTGGTTTTAGTGTTATCACTCACTATCGTTAATAGGGATGTGTTTCTTATTTTCAACAGCGTTTTAGTTTTCTCTAGACTTAAGTACTAATTTGTTCCTCATATGTCCCTTTATTATTAACAGGGTTCTATAATACGTATTAAGAGTGCTCATTACGCAACACCTTATATTTTTTTTATTCAATTGTAGGTTATAACTATATTTTAATGATGATTCTTCTGCGTAAAGTTTTATTTCATTATCCACGAAAATTTCTGTTCCACAAAAATTTCTTTTGCCATATTTAGAAAAATAATTATTTTAAAAAAAGTTTAGAAAACGACAGTTATGATTTTAAAAATGATGCTATAATGATGATGTTTTGTCCAATGAGATTAGATCTCACTTAGAGGTATTACAAAAAATATAAATATCATCTTATGCACAATTGTCATAATATATTTTATCTAAATATCGTAGATAAAATATCATCATCATGATATTTCATTTAAATATCGTAGATATAATATCATCATCATTATTTAATCTATGTAAGATTCTTTTCAGCGATAATCTAACCCGACTTCCCACACTTTTCTCTTCTTCTTTCTTTCTTTTTTTGAATTTTTACTAAGAAAAATTTTTAATTTTAATATTGACAAAAAGTTGAAAAAAGCGGCAGTTATAAGTTAATAAAAAATATTTTATAATGTTTATCCTCTGCGGAATAAGGAGTTAGATTTTGTTCCATATTTTTTCCAAGATACAGTCCCACGATAACATCATCCGATTTCCTAAAGTATATCTTTTCCCTTTAAAATGTATGGCAAAAAAGTTATATATTGTTATTTGTTACAAAGAAAATCAAATTTGATTTCTTGTTCAATCTCTACTTCCTCAGTACTGATTTGTTTGATTTTGATAACATTTTTGTTTTCTCGCTTGAATATTAATTTATCTCAATCTTAAATATAAGAAATAATTTTTAATTTTTGTTTCTGTTGTGGCGGTATTAAAAGCGGTGATTGCCGAACTCTTTGTTCTTACTTGCATGCTACATGCACTTTTCAACACGAAAAAAAAGCTATTGTGTTTACATTTTTTGATTAATTGAATGACAAAATTCTGACCTTTTAAATGAGTTTCTTTTCAATTTTCTGCTTGCTAAAAATAATTTAAAAAATCCTTCGTGCATCAAAAATTACATTTATTCGTATTATATAAAATAAATCCGAAAAAAAACTGAAACAATCTTTAAATTCGGTGTCAGCAAAAATTGAAAATTTTTTCTGATTTTTTATTAATTTAATTGATTATAAATTCGTCACATTAAGCTAAATTTCCTTTATTTATACCTTAAATACAGTTATAAACATGTAATGTTGCTATAAAAAAAAAAAAAAATTTTTATTAAGTTCAATTAAAAAATTTATTTTTAAAAAATACCATGATTTTTCTTTCACATTAAATCACATATTCTCAACTGCATATTTTTATATAACTATCTGAAATGAACGACGGCCTCACTAAATTAAATAAATTCTGAAAATCACTTAATATCACAGCTGCGTGATATTAGTAAACTATTTTTATTTTGTAAGCCATAGCAATTTTTCATGAATAAAATATAAATATTAGTCCTAGTAATTATGATCTGAAATTTTAATATGCACGTTGAATTACATTCGCATACTTAAGACGCTGGCGCCAAGATCTTACGCCAATATTTTCGAAAAATCTCTTTTCTAACTCTTCTCATAGTAATTGAATGACACATAATTTTGAAAAATCACTGTTTCATTTTTGTTCATTTACCGCTATCATCTTACCCAATCGATCGGCGCACGAAGAAGACGAATTTTTAGTTCAGGGAGCAAATTAAATTTTGGCGTCACTTGGCGACTTTTCCCATTCAGTCATCTGAATTGGCAACCTTTCAACTGAGATCGACTCGGAATCGGAGCTGATGGATTAAGAGCTCTCTAGTTCTCTTTTCCTCTTTCTATTTATCTTCTTGAATAATCTCTAAAAAAGGACAGTTAAGTGACTAACAAGTTAATTAAAAGATATTTATTTCTTCTAAAGTGTGCGACTAACGGATAGTCACTTTTGAGTGTGATAGTTAAAGAAGATAATGGCCGAAGCAGTCGTAGGAGCTGTCCATCACAACAACACCGCTCCTAACAGCTCGCAAGGTAATAAATATTCTTTTCATTTTTTGCCCGCCAAAATAAGGATATCTTATCTAAAAAAAAATTTTCTCAGTTTTCTATATTTTTATCTTGAATATAATAATTCATTTAGAAACGTTTGATAAAATAGATAACTAATAGCGTCAGCTTAAAAATGGTTCTTCAGAATTAATTGCTCTGCGTATTATATTCGAAAAACACAATTAAAATGTATTGAATTCTTGAATTCTGAAGCAAAATGTTTATTATTTCTTATTAGTATGTTTTTACAGTGAATGCCACATTAATTAAGTGAAAATTAACTCATTTGCATAAAGTGATTATCAAGGATACGTATTTGTTTCTATGAAATATACATTTTATAATTAATTTTTAAATTCAATCGTCCGAAAGGAACTAATTAAAGGTTGTTTTCTTTTAAGGTATAAATCTTGCTTTTGAGTAATTAATTTTTTTTCTTCCATTTTTTATTCATAAAATTTTCAAAACCATAACTATATGCTATTTGTACTCATTTCAATTTCAAGAAAGCAATTTTTAATATTTATATATTGTTTTAAAAAAAATTAACTATTTTTCTTTTGTTTTAACATATTTTCAAACATTTTATTGTTTGTTAAGGTTTCAAACATTTTACTACCAGTTAAATATGAGTAAATAAAAATGTTTGATAATACGACAAATTATGACTTTTTTTTCGTAAAAAATAATTTCAAATTGAAAATTAATTTTTTATCGAAGTTACACCGCAATCGCCTTACCATACTGTATAAGTATTATTTATTACATTTTAAATGCTGAGATTTATATTTAAATTATTGTGTTAAAACAATTAAAATAGTAATATGAACAAAACAAACTCCGTTTTTTTTTATGTCAATTAGAACATTATAAAAAATTAAAAGTTGTGTATGCGTTTTCACAAAAGTTAAGTAAAATGAAGAAAAAGTTAAGAAAATGAATTGATATTCATGCTTGTCTTTAAAAAATAGTAATTACTTAAAAACATTATTCAAGAAGAAAAAAGAAGAAACTTGAAATTATTTTTTCTTTTTAGTTTCTTTACAAGTATCCCGTCATTTTGATAGATATTCTTAAGAATCATTCTCTAAACTACATTAAAATTACAATGATAGATTTTAAAATTAATTTTTTAGTAAAAATAAGAAAACGTAACATTCTCTGGCATACTATACACTGTAGAAAATTCCTGTTCAAATACCGGCATTTCGGGAACATCATCTGTAAAATTCATTTTTACAGTAATGTTTATTTAATTAGAATGATTTTATGATTTCACGGTAATTATTACTGTAAAAATTAGGATATATCAACTTTTTTGTTCCATAAGATGTTCCGGTAAAATGGATTCTACTGTAAAATGTACCGGTACCCTAAATGCTTGTATTTTTTACCTTAATTAGATCCTGAATTTTTTTACAGTGCATGCGGGTGAGGATATTATGAGAGAATTTTTAAAAAAAATTATAATAGTGTTGTTTGCACTTTCACTCAAAACTTATGTTAAATAAAGAATTAATGGATCAAAAATAATGATTTTTTTAAAAGAAAAATATATTTACATTATTAGTTAAATAAATTGTTTAAAAAATATGTTTCACAAAAGCAGAGTTAATTTGTTTTCTCCAGTTTTCTCATAATGCCCAATTAGTTCCCAATGGTATTATGTGTATTCATTTAATAAACTAAAGTTTGAAAAAAAATATTCTCAAATTAAAGTTTTTCAACCTGAAATAGTAGCAGAAACGCAACATGCTCTAAAATTCTATATGTGTTTCGAAGATGTTATAGCTTAAAGTGTTATTGGCGTCTTCCCAAAGTTTATATTAAAATTAAGAAGTTATAGATCACAATTACTTATCATGATTTAAAAAGCATCATGATATCATTTAAAATAATTTAAACTATAGATTTCAAATTATGAAATTTTCTGGAGTAGTATAACAAAGGATCAATTATTCTCTATAGATATTCTGTGGTTCTATTTTATTAATGCAAATAATAATAGTATAAATACAAAGATATACACATTTCAAAACCAATGTTGATATATTTTCATTTAAAATAATAATTTCACAAATGCAACACAGATTGTCAGATTTTCTGAGGGTTTTAGAATGAAATTAAAAATACAAGTTGTTTTTTCGAAAATTGTTTATTAAATAAAAGCGAAGCGATCGATAATAATGACTTTCTTTTTAAAAATATGTTAATATTATTATTTCCAAGGTAAAAATATAGATTCTTTTGAAGAATCTAGACTTCTTAAACTTACAAAGAATACATTAAAAATTTATACTAGTAGAAATTTAGTAAAACTGAAATGAATAAATTTATATAGAATATAACACTTTATTTTCAAGTAAACTAATTACAATTTTAGTCACATTTTTAAAACTCAAACGCCATCTAAATGAAAAAGTTCTTAATCATAATTGAATTGTAGGCCTAACTTTTAGAAGCGTAATTTAGAATAAAACTTATTGAATCGTTGGGTAATAAATCTAATGCAATAAGTTCAATTTTAAATACGTTTGCATACGACTGATTTTTTTACATACATAAAAAGTTAGATCAAACATTTGCATAAAAATGTTCAAATTGGCAGTTAACTTTCAGGTGTATTACGTATTTGAAAACACCTTCTGGGATAGTAAATTTGTCCCAATAAATTTTATTTAAAATAGTTATGAATGAAAATGCTCTTTTTTCATATTCTTTTAATGAATAAATATTTTATCTTCGTTTAAGAATATATTAGCATTGAAAGGAAGAAATCAGCATAAACTGAGTCAGCATTCAAGATCTAAATAACTAATTTAAAGGCAGTGAAGGGGTTTCTAGTTCCATAGTTGATTCGGCTTATGTTATATTTGTGATTTCTTAACCTTTCTTTGTTTTAAATAAACACTAGCATGTGTAATAGAAACTATGAACAATAGTTAAACAGTCCTTCTTCCTAAAAGATAGCATCTTCTTTTGTTCGGTGTTATAAGGAAAAAATATCATTAAAAGATTATCAATTCTTTAACCATTTTTGACCAAATGCAACAGCTAATTTAAATATCAGACTTTTTATTGTCAATGAAACAGGAAAGATTTTAGAAAATTGTGTGAGAACAGTTAAACTATTTTGGAAATTGTATTGTAAAATAAATATGACTTATTTTTATAGAATAGTAAAGGTTTGTAGAATTTGTATTATGGAATAAAAATGAGCCTGGTTCGTAGAAATTACGTTATTTTAACGTGATAACTGCACTACAGCTCATTAATTTCAATACACAACTATTTGCTTTTCTTTTATTAAAAGGTTTTTAAGAACGATATTACAATTAAATTGTTTTCTCTAGTTTCCTGCCAATGATCTATAAGTTTCTAATGGTATTTTGAGAATTCATTTTGAAAACTAACCCTTTTTTTCCAATGCCCACCTGGAGAATGACCTTTCGTCATGCAGGCATCTGAGGGGCAGATTTGTTGGCCACTCTTTCAGGTGCACCATATTAGGTGGACCAACGTTGCTCCCACAATAAGGACAAATAGTACAGAGCATGAAGGAACATCCGTGCCTTGTCCGGGATTCAAACCCAGAACCTTTCTTATGCAAGGCCAGTTCCCTGACACAGTCCGGTCAACATAAACTAAACTAATGTTTAAAAAAATTCAAATTTATGCTGTTTTTTTTTTAAATTAAAATAGTAGTAGAAGCATAAAATGCTCAATATTTCACTGTTGCTAAAACTTCTTCCATTGTAGAAAAGATTAATATTATCTTTTTTGACCGTTGTCTGAAATAGGAAATGTCAGGGAAAAGTTTTAATCATATATTGATAAATACAAATGATCGTATTAGAATCTTTTGAATAAATACATCAGAAATATAAATATTTCAAGCGGACATTTGTGGCATGTGATTATATGCAACTATAATAAAATAGAATCTGAAATTCAATATCAACCAACCAACTAATAAAATGATCACTTTAGAATTTCCTAAGATCTCTTCGGAATCTTATTTGGAAGTGAAGAGTTTGGACAAAATTCTGTCATATGCTTAATTGAGTAATTAAAAATGTTTTTGTTTTCTAGTGCAGGGAATTATTTCATTAAATCTTTGTGTATTTCTCAGATAAACTAAAAGAAAACAACAATTGTTGTGTATTGAAATTAATTATGTATTTTTAAATTGTTTGAAAAACCGTCCTCTTTAGATAATTGTTTTAAAATATAAAAAAGCAAGTTATAAAATAAAGTTTTCAAGCTTGCCTGAAAAGATTTCGTAAAAAAATACTGGAATTTACATTTATTTTGATTGGATTGAAGGATGTTGAAGAAGTTCATGCCGCAAACCACCTACGGATGGAACAGGTGTTTTGAGATGAAAGGTGACCCACGCATTTCACCTCACGCGTGATTTCACAAAACTTGTGCGTCCTTGCCTTACTTTGAAATTCGAAGATTTAGCTACATAGGTTGCAAGAGAAATAAACAAAAAGAACGTAATTGTCTTATGACATACATCAATTTTATAAGAAGGAAGTAAATCATTGTAGAAACAGCATTTTAGAATTATTAAAAATGACGTTTAAACTTAAGAATAAAGCTAAATAACGTTAATCAACCACAAATAACTGCAGAAAACTGGAATGTATCAGTTCTATAAATAAGAATCTTCTTCAATATGAAAACGCAAAATAGCTAATAAACATACAGCAAATTTCATGTTGCCTTTTTGTTCACTAAATGACTAATATACATCTATCAAATTTCATGTTGTCTTTTTGTTTACAAAACGATTAATATACATCTATCAAATCTCATGTTGTCATTTTGATGACAAAAGGACTAATATACACGTATCACATTTCGTATCGTAATTTTGCGTTTCGACAATGAGGAACGTTCTCGTTTAAAGAACTGTAGTATGTCCATTTTTGTTCATTTATTTGGGCTTCATTAATGTTACTTTGTTCTATTCA